ATGTGCCATTACTGATCGGAAATGTCGGAAGGTGATTTTCAAGGCAAAGACCCCATATATAGATTTGGAAATCTGTATAATCTTTAGAATCGAAGAATCATCTAATTACCAACGATTTTACATTACATGAAGAGATCGCAAACCGCAATAACGTGGCCACATCTTTTGCAAAGCGCCATAAAAATCTCGTGATCCTGTAATCAGATTTTGACGATTTTGAGCTCGCTAGAATCGTCTTCATTTTGGTAGTAAAATAATTCAAAACGAACATGCCTATCAAAAGATATTTCAATGTTAAAGTATATACATTTTCATAGTAATTTTAAAAACTCTTCTATATAATTGATAAATTTTCTTTTAAAAAACAGATAATTTAAAAAATAGTAAATTTTTTATAAAACAAAATATAAAATTTTTAAATAGAGTATGATTAAATATGATTTTTTGAAATAATACAATTACTACATAAATTTCCAATCAAAATTTAAAAATTCAGAGGTGAAACGGTTTAAGAAATAAGATCTAGCGAAAGTACATTGAAAAATATGTTCTTATTTACAATTTAAAGCACGAAAAGCTTTTGTTTTATGCTTTTTTATGCGTTATAAGGAAACCATTGTTACAATAAAGTGAATATCCATTTTTAAAGAAAATTCATTTTCTATTTTAATAAAAACTCGTAATCGTACGTAGTTATAAGGAAAATTATGTGAAAATAAGTAAAAAAATATATATGTTACTTGTACACGTGTATTGGCAACAAATCGGAGTGTTCAATTTTTTGCCGAAAATACGGAAATTGTACAGGGATACACAGTTACACAAATAACATTGGTGTTAGATCTTAAATATTGCCTTTTTCACAAAGATTATAACGAATAAAAACAAATAATGTCATGCTCAGATATGTTAAGTAAATACTCTAAATGGTTGAATGAGGAAGTTGAAAATGGTAATATAGTCGTTTATGAGTATACACTGTTCAATAATATTGAAGTTATTGGAAGAGGTATGATTCTTTTAATTTTTTAGTGCACTATTTGAGTGCCGCCAACTAAACACGTCAATAATAAACAATAAACTTAAAACCCAAAGTCTGATTTTCCTTGGCATCATTCATTTATCTAACACCAATAAAAAATTTAATTTTCATGCGTTAACATTTGTAAAGGTGGGTTTGGATGCATTAGTTCGGCTGACTACAATGAAGGAAAAGTCGCATTGAAAAACCTTAACACTAAAGAAGCGACAAAAGAGTTTATCAACGAGGTAATACATTTTTAGTTGTCTTCCAATGTTTGGACTCCATTTAATAAGTCAATTTATTATAGCTTAAACAACTACGCACTATTGAACTTCATCCTAATGTCAACCAATTCTATGGGATTACAATAGGTACGGTTACATATTATATACATAATATTCCTTATAATATTCCTTAAATTCCCTAAATAATATTTCTACTTGTGATTACATAATTTTAGATCCTGAAACAGAATATCTCCTATTAGTATTGCAGTTTGCCAATGGAGGAACCCTGCGGCAATATTTGCAAAGCAAATGGCATAAAAATACTTTTAAAATTTCAATAAATGAAATTATCAAAATTGCGAAACAAGTTACTCTTGGGTTAAGGCATTTTCACAATAATAATATAATTCATTGTGATTTAGTAAGCATAATTTCTAATATATATCTTTATTATAAATTATTTAAATTAATAATTTAAATATATCTTTAGAGAATTGTTATTGCCACCCCCCTATTTTTGTTAATGCCACCCCCTACATAACTCTAATTAACCTTTAACCTTTCCGGAAACTCTATAAACA